GATGGAAGCCCCGCTGGGGTGCCAAAGCCCGGAGGCCGATGAGACTGTCGTAAAAACAGAGCAGCAGCAGCTCCTGTGGTCAGAGCACCTCAGTGCACAGGGGACGAGCCACTGCTCTGGCGGACGCCCTGGCAAGGCTGCCGTGTGCCCAGGGAGCTCCGTGGCTCCAGCAGCTTCTCAGCTCCGGAGAAGTGGCGTGAAGACGGCACCCAGTAACAAAGAACACACGTTGACCAGACCAGGGTTGCAGGAGCCTTTCATTTCGCTTTATACACAGAAATTGTGGCCTATTCTTTAAATTAGGAAATTCAACTACAGACTGGACGCCCTGGCAAGGCTGCCGTGTGCCCAGGGAGCTCCGTGGCTCCAGCAGCTTCTCAGCTCCGGAGAAGTGGCGTGAAGACGGCACCCAGTAACAAAGAACACACGTTGACCAGACCAGGGTTGCAGGAGCCTTTCATTTCGCTTTATACACAGAAATTGTGGCCTATTCTTTAAATTAGGAAATTCAACTACAGACTGTAAGTTATTATGCATCAGTGGTCTTCCTCAGTAAGGTATTTTGCTCATCTTTATAACAGGCAGATAAAAAGGTAAAACATTTATTAACTGAACACAGTTGACCAAGCCATTCCATATAATATGATGCTTTATAAAGAGGGGCTTCCGGTGAGACAGGTCCCTCAGCCTGAAGACTGGATGCAACCAGAGCCAAAGACTGGACTTCAGGGTGCCCCATTTCTGAACCCCACGCTCCAGCACAAAGGCAACCCAGGGACTAAACAGTCGCCGGCGCCTTGGCACGGCGCCAGGGCCTACCACCTGCTCCAGCGGGGTATCTGTCAGAATGAAAAGCAGCCCCCGAGGCGAGGCGAGGCGAGGTGGGGTGGGGCAGGGCGGCGTGGGGACCCTCCCCTGTGCAGACGTCGCCAATTCCTGCGCTTGCTTGAGGACGCGGAGACCCTCAGCACACTGAGTTGCCCTTGCGTTGCTGTTGTTGAAATGAGGACACCAGGGGACAATGTACAAGTGGGTAACATTCTCAGTGTGCCCTTTAGAAAAAAGGGATGGCTTTAGGTTATCTGTAGCTGGCATTTGAAAGAGGGGTTTGCATTTCTCTCTGAAATTCTTTTGCCCGAGGTTCGACAACTGCTGCTCAGGGTGACGTGGCATTACTGCTGTGGGTGGGAGGGAGCCGCCATTGTGTGGATGCCGTGGAGGTGAGACCGCCGCCCTGGAGGGGAGACCATGCCGGGTCATTGCAGCCGGGGTGGAGCTGCTGCTGAAGGTGCTGACGGATCTGGCTGCAGCCCCAGGCCCGGCCCGGCCCTCAGCTCCCACACAGCAGCTGTGGCTGCACCGGGCCACCTCCCTGTGAAGGTGACACCCAGGAGCTCAGAAGGTAACGGAACTGCAGGAGTGTCATGGTGTCATACTTGGAACCTGGGGAGGGTGGCCTTCCTCAGTGGGCAGCACCGTCAGGCCCCTCTGTAGTCCCTCTTCTGTGTCTACATTTTCCTCCCAGTTTATCACTCGGGAATCTGGCTTGGCGCAGTGGGTGCCCACCTTGTCAGGAGAGGCTCCTGAGGGCCTGGGAGGAAGAGCCACGGGCGCGCTGAGCGACAAAGCCATGCGCCGAGGGGCTTTGCTTCTGCATTTGCTTCCCCGATGTGAGAAGCGGCAGCCTTCCTGGGTCATCCTTGTCCTCTGGATGAGAAGGCCGGCGTGGGGTCGGGTGGTGCCTCTTGCGCTGTGGCAGACGCCGAGGTGGTCCTGGGAGGACTTTCTGGCATTTGCCAAAGCAAAAAGTGGGAATCCAGTCTGAGGTGCGAGGGGCCGGGGGTGTGACCTACAGCCATGTTCCGACACTGGGGTGGTCTCTGTGGTCTCCAGGTTGCTCCCAGGGTTCCGGGCCAGGCCCAATGGCCCTGTGTGTCACACACAGCACTTTTTGCCCTTGAAGTTGGGCGTATGGACAAAGCAGGCCACCTGCCACCGGCTTTTTGCCCTTGAAGTTGGGCGTATGGACAAAGCAGGCCACCGGCCACCGGCCACAATTAAGCTGCAAACCGGATTCGGCCTTCCACCAGCACTGTGGGATTCTCCTCTTAGAGCCCAAACACAGCGGAATGTTTTTCTCCTCCATAGACAAGGGCCTTCAAGTGCACGGGGTCTGACTGGGACGGCCCCAGACCTCCTCCTTGGGGGTCTCATCAGGGCTGGGCAGAGGGGAGGAGTGCTGGGAGCCCGGGCTATGGGTGAAAAGATATGAACCCAAAAGAGATGTCTTGCTGTCTGGTTCCCTGAAAAAAAAACCTATTACATTCAGTAATGGAATTTCAAAATGAAAATGCCTGGTAAGAGCAATGGAAATATCATGCCAATAAATAGTTCCTCCCCTTTAAATATGCATCCGGTCTCACGTACGTGTGCATGTATATGCACACATACACTTGTATGCACACGCACACGCGCACACACTGGGGCTGGGCAGTGGCGCCCTTCAGAGTGGCCCTGCATGAATATGTGGCTCTGCTTGCTCTCGCATGGGAGCAGCAAAGCTCCTGACCCCCCAGCCGGCCCCCTGCCCCAGCAGACGGCTCCCGTGGAATTGCCGTGCTCATTAAGAAAGCAGCGTCAGTAGAAAAAAGGTAGAACGCAATTCTTCACCCTTGGCTTTTTCCTCCTTCCCCTTCGGGTGAAGAGCAGCTTCTTCCTCCTGTCGGGTCCCCAGGGAGAAGCCTGTTTGTGTGCGGCACCGTACTGAACGGATTGGGCCTCTCGCAGATGCGTGCAAGAGAAGTCTTCCGCCGCCGCCAGAGTTGCCTTCCGTCTTGCAGGTGTGCGGGCCGCCCCTGTGTGCGTGCATGCGTGTGTGCGTGTGCCGAGAGCAGTTCCGGTTAGAGGGACGTCTCCACGCTGTGGAGTGGGCTCCCAGGACTGGAAGAGAACGCCGAAGAGGTAGCTGACTTGGTGACATGCGTGGTCAGGTAGATGCCGCTGTCTATGGCGTTGTTGTTCTGGTTTGGGGGTGGGGGTGGGGGGGCCCGCAGGCGCTCCTCGTTCTCGTCCACGTCCGTGTCATCGATGAGCGGGATGTTGTGGGTGTAGTCGTTGATCACAAACTCGGGCGTCGCCATGAAGTTATGGATGGAGGTCTTGGATTCTGGCTTCTCCAGGCCTTCATAGAGTGAGCTGCGGAATGCTTTCACCACCCGGATCTGGAGTAGGAGTGGAGGGACAGGGAGAGGTGGGAGGAGAGGGGAGGGGAGAGGAGAGGGGAGAGTCGGGACAGAGGAGACCATCAGTGGCTGCTGGATGCAGGCAAGC